GAATGAACCTTGTGGTACCCCAGTTTCCTCGCTGGCTATCCTCGAGCAGTGATTCCCAATTGTCACTTAAAAGGTTCTTTTCATAAGGAAATTCTGTAGGAAATGCATGATGTTCCCGGAGAGTCCCCACTAAGCCAGTTGTTTCAGTATTCCCGGAGTCCACGTCCGGTTGAAGGCTTTGAGAGGCGATCTTCACATGTTGATCGTTGTCCATGGCCGAGTGCAAAAAACTTGTCTTTAACATTTGTATGATGTACAATTCTTTAACATATGTATGTATTTGTATCCATATTAAGCATTTAACATTTGTATGAATGGATGTCTTCACGGGGAACGGTGGTTCTAAATTCTCTATTAAACGATCTGTGTATTTTATAGACAGACCCAAAGCAACTGTCATATACCGAATGGAGAAAACATGCATCTACTTGATAGTAATTTACAGTGCCATTGGTCATATTTCGTCGAGTAGATGTGAATTGATATGTCTCTTTATATGGTCATGAATGGTATCAAATTTGGCCATGGTCCGGAACATCCGAAACGATTCCAGGGTAGGCATGTTATCGTAATGATAAGTAAGATAATTATATGAAGAAGATTGAAAAAAACACCCCCGTACCAACATATTCATGAATATATAACAAAGACGGAAGGGCCTGAGAGGAGAACCATCTAACAGGTGTAAGAACCACTCACCGGAATGATGTTAAAAAAAATCTATTTAATCGGATAGGGCACCTCTGAGAGACAAAGTTTATCCCGGGATTTTACGAGTTAACCCGTAAAAGTCAGGGACAAACTTTTTATTTTCAAAAATTTGTACCTCAGAGATGCCATGGCCGATTAAAATTACTTTTTTTTTTACATCATTCCGGTGAGTGGTTCTAATATTTGATGGGTGGTACTCTTCCCCAGGACCCTTCATCTTTTCTATATATTCAAGAATGTGTTGGCACGGGGGTTTTTTTTTTATATCTTTATTAAGGAGACTTTCAGCCCTGGGCTGGTTGGTCTCCGTGGCACGGGGGTGTTTTTTTTCAATCTTTATCATATATCTTACATATCATCGCAACAACATATTGATTTATTTCGTGGAACTCCTGGAAATGATAGAGAACATTCATAAGATCACATGCCTACCATGGAATCGGTTCCGGATGTTCCGGATTATGGTTCCATATGGTTAAATTTATTATCTGATATAACAATATCAAGGAACATATAAAATAACATCTACTTGACGAAATATGACCAATGGCACTCAAAGCGACGTCCACAGAGCTGTATGGCCATCGTAAAACCGGTCCTGATATTCCGGATTATGGTTCCACATGGTCAAATTTGAAATCTCACTTAATTATATCAAGCGACATATAAAATCACATCTACTTGACGAAATATGACAAATGGCACTCAAAACGACGTCCACAGAGCCATATGGCCACCGTAAAACCGTTTCCGGATATTCCGGATTATGGTTCCATATGGTCAGATTTGATATCGCTCATAACCATACCAAGCGACATATCAAATCACATCTACTCGACGAAGTATGACCAATGGCATTCAAAAAAACAACTATAGAGCCATATGCGTACCGTAGAAACGGTTTCGGATATTCCGGTTTATGGTTCTGTAAGGTCAAATTCGATATCGCTCATAACCATACCGAGCAACATATCAAATCACATCTACTCAACGAAATATGATCAAGGGAACTCAAAACGACTATCACAGAGCCATATGGCTACCGTAAAACCGGTTCCGGGTATTCCGGATTATGGTTCTGTATGGTCAAACTTGATATCGCTCATAAACATACCAAGCAACATATCAAATCATATCTACTCAACGAAATATGACCAATGGCACTCAAAACAACATCAATAGAGCCATAGGGCCACCGTGGAACCGGTTACAGATATTCCGAATTATGGTTCCGTATGATCGAATTTTGTATCCTTTGGAATCATATCACGTAACATTTCAAATCATATCTACTCGACGAAATATGACCAAAGGCACTCAAAACGACGTCAACAGAGCTTCCCGAAAGAGAATTCCGTTTTCGTTCTCTCAACTTATTTCACAAAATATCGGAAATCGGTGGCCCTATGGCTCTATAGTTGTTGTTTCGAGTGCCATTGGTCATATTTCGTCGAGTAGATGTGATTTGATATGTCGCTTGGTATGGTTATGAGCGATATCAAATTTGACCGTACAGAACCATAATCCGGAATATCCGGAACCGGTTCTATGGTAGCCATATGGCTCTGTGATAGTCGTTTTAAGTACCATTGATCATATTTCGTTGAGTAGATGTGATTTGATATGTCGCTTGATATGGTTCTGTGAGGTATAAAATTCGATCATTCGGAACCATAATTCGGAATATCTGGAACCGGTTTCATGGTGGCCTTATGGCTCTTTAGTAGTAGTTTTGAGTGCCATTGGTCATATTTCGTCGAGTAGATGTGATTTGATATGTCGCTTGGTATGGTTATGAGCGATATCAAATTTGACCATACAGAACCATAATCCGGAATATCTGGACTGGTTTAACGGTGGCCATATGGCTCTGTGAACGTAGTTTTGAATGCCATTGGTCATATTTCGTCAAAAAGATGTGATTTTATATGTTGCTTGATATTGTTATGACAGACAATAAATTTGACCATATGGAACCATAATCCGGAACATCCGGAACCGATTCCATGGTTGGCATGAGATCTTATGAATGTTCTTTATCATTTCCGGGAGTTCCATGAAATAAATTAATATGTTGTTGCGATGATATGTAAGATATATGATAAAGATTGAAAAAAACACCCCCGTGCCAATACATCTTGAATCTATAGAAAAGAAGGAGGGTCCTGAGGGGGGGGGGGGAGTAACACCCAACAAATGTAAGAACCACTCACCGGAATGATGTTGAAAAAAAAAGTCATTTTAATCGGCCATGGAATCTCTTGGAAACGGGCTTTTACGGGATAAAGCTGTAAATCAATTGAATCGATGAAAATCATTGAATTATTGCTCTTTCCGTTGATTTTTTTTTATCAGTTTGAAATGAAATTGAAATCTCAGTTAAAGGACAATTGATCCCCCAAGGTTTACATACACTTTAACCTGATGTAGGAATGAAAAATATAAAACTATTTGTGAGGAGATTTGATTCCTCAACATTTTCACACATTCGACATTAAGAACCGTTTAAAAATTAATATTCAAATGCATATCATAAAAGGGGGGATCAAGTGTCAATACAGATCGAAAAAGCAGTGAGGAGCATGGGGTTGTAAAATTTGTCCACTTTCCCTTTATTAAAATAAATAATGCAATTATTGAACCAGAGAAAACATGAATTTTGTTTTCCAACATAACTGTGCAATAAAAATTGCTGTAATGGAACCAAATCTGTTAGAACAAATCGATATTGTATACTGTTAAGATACTTAATAAAGTTTTAATTTTACAGTAAATCAAATACCATGTTTTGACTGTTGAAACCCATGAATTTGATTGGATTTTTGTTGTATTGCATGAACATTTTCAATCTTTGCTCCAGTTTATTTGAGTGTTCAGTAATATTAAGATGGTTATCCTTAGTTCAGTCGGAGAAGGCGCAACTATAAAGTAAGACCATGCTATAGGTGGCTGGGTTCGATTTCCGCCTCCCAGTCCCGGAATTTTTCGAGTTGAAAAGTTTCTCGACTTCCCATAGGCATAGAGCATGATTGTACTTGGCACACAATAATATTAATTCAAAATTGAAAGAGATCACTAAGTTGAGAGTCAGCGTAAAGTCCCAGTGGGGAAATAATGAAGCCCAAAGAAGAAGAACATGGTCACTGTAACAGTAAATCTCATTTTATTTTTATAGGTTTGTTATATTCGGCAGCAATCGAGTGAACTTTAGTCTGAATTGTATGGTTTTGTAGAGGGGGGTTAACAAAATCTGGAAAGCATTGTATGTGCATTGTTTGCACAAATATTTTTTAAAGTGTGATTTTCTAAATATAAGTATAGTTACCTTGGACTATGTTCTTTAACACAGATGTTCAAATTATTTATTGATTGTTCCATTCCCACTTTTTCAGGTGCACCTGAAATGTAAATTTCACAATGTGCTGGGGAAACACTCTTAAAGCTGCCATTCGTGGAAGAAAGATATTACTGATGAAGGTTCACTAGTCTTTATCTCTTCCTACGAGAAGTAAAACTTGGCAAGACCCGACGCCACGGCCGCCGTCTGCCTAGCCAGTTTGCAGTGTCGTTTAAGTTTTTAATTATTCCGACTTTTAACTCCACTCCACTGTGCTTTCACTAACGAGACCGAAGCTCGGTTCAGGGGTTTCATGGTCGGACTGGTGGCCGTAAAAACTCAAACCAAACATGGCAAGAAAGTGGTATTGTACCTACGCACGCGACTACAGTAGTAGCAAAACGGTACCAAGAGGGACAGAATCCCAAATTTTATAACTCCACAAGATGCGGCACCGCAGGGCACGAACTGGCTTGGAACCGAGAGGACAATAATGGCGGCGGCTGAAAGGACACCCAGCGATGAAATATTTTATTGATTTTCCTCAGTCCCTCACCACGTGTCCCCTTTGGTGGCAGATTTTGGTGCAAACATTCACACATACAAGTCTCTCGGCCTGTGCAATTTTAATAGTCGAACTCCCAAACACCCAGAGACGCAAAACCGAGAACGTTTTTGGTTGATTATACCGCAACCGAAAATTGATTGTAAAGGATAACCAAAAACGGAGAAAGCAGCCACAGTCCCATTCGGGGGACTGTCATGTATGTGCACATATATATTGGCTCCATCCTTACTAAAATTGCCTGTAGTGTGAATCTACGAGTGTGCGGATCGGGTATAATTTTGGCCGAAATAATTTATTTGGTCCCACAGACATGTCTCAACAGTCCCATCAAACGGTGGGAAGGGTATTTTCACAACAACAACAGCAAAACCAAACTGATCTTACCACATGTGGTGATCCGGTGCGGATTAGCTCTCCGGGATGGTCCGCCAGCAGGCCTTCGATGGTGCGTTCCGCCAAAGTTTCCGCTGTTAGTGGTTGATGCTTCGAATTGCTTTCAGTGGTTCCATTGTTGTTAGCACTGTCGGCATTCGTCCCACCACTTTTGACACTGTTTCCATTAAGCTCCATCGACGTAGGGTTAGTTGTGGAGGTCACCTCCGAAGTGGCCAAGTGCATGTTTTTTTTCTCTTTTAGCTGTGGATGTTTTGATGATCAATCTGTTTCACACTTTGATGTTTTCCGTTTTTTGAACATCGGTCAGCATTCATGACTGTGCACAAGTTTCATTCTTTGTTGTTAGCAATGCAATAATACTTATAATTATACTATAAATCACAAATAATTCATTAATGAATCGTCGAGATCAATAATATTAACAGCTGTGTGTACCTGACGACGAATGTCTTCTTGCAAATGATGGACTTTTTTGAAAACTTAAATTGTGACATATATTGATACTTTGTATCTAATAATTTTGAAAAATGTTTTTGAAACATCTTGCAACCACGAACCACTTTATGTTGAAAGCAAACCAATATTTATAATTAATTGGAAACAGTATGCAACATAGATCACCAATCCATGCAAATGTTTAGTATTTACCATAATTTCAAATAATGACAAGCATCCTGCAAACAAACGCACCTGTGCATATTTTGCTCTAAACAGGTGCGGCTTACCACGCAGTTAATTTCACAAACCAGAGGCTAAAAAAATACCTCCAGCCTCCAAGCTGGAGCAAATATTTGAGTGTTCAGTAATATTAATGAACTTCCGCAGCAGAAAACACAAATTCTAAAATGCAAAAAAAAAATCACCAACCCTCCTCGCAATTGTTGCAATCCGGCAGGACTACAGTCCGCAGTGGTCACTGCAGCAGTGGCTAAGCTTCCAAAAAACAAAAGCTATGTCCACTAATCCCTCCCACTAGCTTCCGCAGTAACCAAAAATCTATTGTTTCAACATGATTTCCCATCTAATCCCATTTTTGTGCATATACCGATCCGCGGTGGCGTGTGTTTGTTATGAGCAAAGTCAAACCATCGATTTTTCATCAACATCACTCACTGCCACTACCGCGTGAAACAAAAGCTCCGAACATGGGTGGACCTTTGGTAGCGGCTTGAAGCAAGGGATGGTTTTTGGAGTGGTCGATGCATGCATTTTAAATAAATTAATTTTGTAATAACCAATACCGCACATTTGCGCTAAACGCAAACTACACAGAGCAGGAGGTTTTTAACTTGATGGGATTTAGTTTACTGCGGGCTGATTGATCGAGGTTGTCGGTGGGATGTGATTTGAACTGGCAAACTCATTAATATTAACAATGGTGGAACATGTTCGTTTTCTAATATATAGTTGAACCATTCATTCTCAAGAGAAGGCTTCAACGTTACATATTCATTGTCACCTTCAACTCTAGTACATGTTTTCCTACAGTAGTGAGTTCTGCACCAGGCCTGTAGTGGTGGATACCCATGATTACTGCATAAGTAACCAGCTCCGAAGCCCGATTTGTTTTTTTTTTTCATCAAAACTAACTGGGGGCGAAAATATCGATCTACGTGCGCTTCTCTTATAAAAGCTGTGCCCCCTTACTATTCACTCATATGAGAAAAATTGCTTTGCAAACATAAAACATAAGATATAGTTTGTCTTCATCAAGATTCTATAAGCTCCCTTAAATGTTTATTAAAATATTACAAATTCGAATCCAAAAGTTTCAAAAATTTTCAACCACAATTCTTATGTGTATATAGGGGAAATGGCTCTAATGTTGGCTTATGGATCTAAGATTGGGCTCATCACCACTACCGTGCACAGGCATCTTGTTAAGAAGGGGCATTTTTTTTTCTCTATGGTGCATTTAATCTGGGAAAGGGGAGTACTCCAAACTGTGTGAGAGATGGTGCTGTCCATCCACCACTGTTTGTCTACGGTTTAATTTAGCAAATTTTATTTAATTTTTGCTCCGGTGGTGGTTCATTTTCTTCAATGCAAACTGCTTTCAGACAGCCAGTGGAAATTGGCAATTTAATCCCATCGACGATGTCGATGATGAACCGTCCCAAAGTAGAGCCAGTCAGGGTGACAGAAAATGATGCCGAACATTCAACATGTTTTAGAGATGATATTAAGGACAAACCCGAATTTATTACAACGCACATAAACAGCTATAACTTTTTAACCACGGTAACAAATGACTTGAAATTTTCAGACGATTTTTTAGTAAGGCAACAATATACCAAGGTTCAATGGCAATTGGCAATTAGGGAATCCAAAAGCTATAAACTTTGTACAGTTGCGAAAAAGTCCATCCTCAGAATTCCTTGAGGTTCTTTTCGAAATTTTTATAATTCTATGAGTTGTTTTGAAATTCTTCTCAGAAGTCCTCTGGAATAATTTTTAGAACTCTTTTTGAATTTGAATTTCCTCAAAAAACTATTCCCGGAATGAGCCAGAAATGACCGGTACTCCCTTGAATTTCACTCAAAATTCAATTTTCTCGGTATTCTTTTCGGAATTATTTTAGAACTATCTGCAGAATTCTCTAGAAACTGTACGTAGAATTTTCTTGGAAAATTCCCCAGAAATCTTTTGGAACTGTCCTCAGAATTGAATATCCTTGAGTTTCTTCTCGGATTTTTTTAAACTCTCCTAAGAGCTCTTTTGAAATTCTTCTCAGAAGTCCACTGGAATTATATTTAAAACTCTTTGTTAATTTTTTTACTCAGAACATCTTGGAATTGATTGAGCTAGAAATTATCTTCGGGATTCGCTTGAAATTTTGTCTAAAATCCCTTTGGAATTTCACTCAACAGTTAATTTTCTCAGTATTCTTTTTGAACTTATCTTGGGAGTATCTGCAAGATGCACTAGAAACTAACCGCAGAATTTTCTTTGAATTCTCCCCAGAAATATTTTGGAACTGTCATAAGAATTGAATGTCCTTGAGGTTCTTCTCGGAATATTTTAGATTTTTTTTTTCTCACAACACCTTGAAACTGAAATTCCCCTAAAGTTTCAGAAGAATTTTCTTTGCATTCTCCGGAAATTCTTTGCAGAATGAGCTTGAAATTATCCTTCAAATTTTACTCAACATCCCTTTGGAATTTCATTCAAAATTTGATCCTCTCAGTATTCATTTTGAAATTATCTTGGAACTATCTGCAGGATTCACTAGAAATTATTCGCAAAATTTTCAAGAAATCATCCCAGAAATCTTTTCTTTAAGAACTGTCCTCAGAATTCATTACCCTTGAGGTTCTCCTCGGATGTAAAGTTTAAGTTGCCCGCCTATTTACAAAAAAACGTTGTAGTTTTTCTAATAGAAATGTCCAATAAAGCCTGCCCCTCCATTCACCAGAACTGTGCAATTTTTACATCAGGAATTTTCAATTCAGCTTGCCTCTCCAGATGCAACAGATTGTTGCAAATCTTACACCAGAAATATTCAATACAAACTTGCCTTTATAACATTTTGCACCAGAAAATTTAAATTGATCCGAACGATGCACATTTTCCACCATTAAGTTTCAATAAAAATTGCTTCCCATAACTTCTGATTGGTGCAGATTTCCTTTTTCCATTTTCATCCAGACATTTTCAATATATAGCTTGCTTCTCCTATCATCAGAATGTTGCAGGTTTATTATTATAAATTTTCAGTAAAGCAGCTTCCTCCAATCATCAGAATGATGCAAATTTTACACCAGAAATTATTATTAAAGTTAGTTTCTCTATTCAGCAGAAGGATTCAAATTTTAGATCAATTTTTTTCCAAAAAGCTTGCCCATCCGTTCACCAAAACGGTGCAGGTTTTCCACCAGAAATTTTCAATATAGCTTAATTAAAAAAAAAAACTTGTGCCTTCATTTACTAGACCAGTGCAAGTTTTCCACCAGAAATTTTCCGTTCATTTCATTTAACAAAGCGATGCAAATTTGGCACCAGAAATTTTCAATAAATCATGCTCCTCCATTCACCAGAACGGTGCACCAAAAATTTTCAGGAAAGCTTGTTTAACCATGCACTTTTGTGGTGCTATTTCTGGCTTAGCCTCTTCATGGAAACTTTCCACCACGATTTTTTTTTTATTATAGTCACTTTAACACTCTTGGGTCATTCGTGACTTGTCCGGGGTGAGATTTGAACTCGTGACTTTGGCGTGAGAGGTATGGATGTTAACCACTACGCCGGGGTCGCCCCCTACCACGAAATTCCAATGAAGCTTGCATTCATCAGAACGATGCAAATTATGCACCAGAAAAATGAATAAACCTTGTTTCTACATTCACCACAGTGTAGCGAACTTTCCACCAGAAATTTTCAGTGAAATGTGCACCTCCAAATTTTTAGCGTGAATCATTTTTTTTTAACTTTCATTTTGATTAGTCCCTCCATGCACCACCTCGATTTTATTTTTACACCAGAAATATTCAATAAGAAGCTTTTTCTTCTATTTACCACCACGGAGGTTATTTTTTTTCAACTTTAAATTAACTCTCTTCTTTTAACCCTCCACTTTAAAAAAAATTACACCCGAAATTTTTTGTATGCACCACTGTGTTGCAATTTTTGAACAAAAAATGTCAAATGTCATGCACCTTTGTGGTGCAATTTTCAGTCACCATCTCAAAGGAATTGAAGCAGTAAACGGTGTTCAGACCCCTTATTTTTATAAATGAAGTTATTTTAGGTTCAAATCAAGGTATCAAGAAATCAAGTTATTTTATATCATAATTATGTAAGTGTGGAAATAAAAATCTTATTTGTAAAAGGGGACAATTGCTTCATCGTGCCCCACCCTGTGCACGCCAGTGCCCATCGATAAAAATCTGCTATTTTAACTAGATGAACACGTCATTAGGACTGTACTTATGGATATTTTTGGCTGCTATTGAAAATTAAGTCGATTGCTGAATTTATGTATGGGCCCAAATTAGGGGCATTTAGGCCTACATTACATCTGTTTCCCCTATCTGAGAACTTCAGGACAAATCCATTGATGTCAGGATAATTTTAGGAACTTAATAGAAGTTCTGAGAAATTCAGGGAAGTCCAGCAAAAAACGGAGAAGTTCAAATTTCTTAAGAGCAATTTCGAAAACATAAGGGAAACTTCAAAATCCAAGAGCTTAAGGAAATATCTGGGTTTTTTTTATAAACTTCAGC